GTTGCCCCTATTGGACCATGGTTTAATCTTGAACGTCCTGTACCTAAAATGCTTTTGGTACAACTGCAGGAAAGAAACATTAGGGACAGACAGATGTCACAAATGATGTTGGATCTGCAGCAGCCGGCTCTTGTTTTAAAAGATTATTAAGACGTTCTAATTTTTTAGAATATAACAATATTGATGTAAGCACAAGTGGTATTTATCAGAAATCAGTGTTTCCAAAACATTCTCTGTTTACTGTGAGACTTTGATGTAAGGGTGAAATTATGCAGCTTGACAACCTAGGGCACGTTGTGGAACAGTTTTACATTTTGTATATTTCTCAATAATGGGTGTTTTATGAACGTACTAAGCTGAAACTACTGTGTTAATGGAATAAAAGGAAAAGGTGGGGTTTTTTTTACAGGATTTCTCATACGTTTTGATTTGCATAAACATTTTGTAAATTCCTGCTAAGTGTGGGTATGAGATTTTGTAAGATCCGAGGAATCCTGAAACTCCATTTTCACTTCCTGTTTCTGCAAAATTGTTTCTAGTGCCTCAGTTCTTTGGAGATTTTTCTCAGTGGTGCCCAGGTGCCACGAACTGAATTGTAAAACTCTTTAAGCCTTTTCCTTTTTTTCTGTTTTTAAATTTCTGCCAGGCTCTGTAATGCTTGCTGTGCACCAGAATAGACTGTTGATGCAAGCGCTTTTAAATCAGTGGAATTACTCTGGAATCTGGAGTGAACTAGTCTAGATTCTTAGTAGTATAAATGGGCTTAGGAAAACTGATTTTGAAACACAAGAAGTAAGGCCACTTTACAATCAGGGTAATGTTAAAAGCAGTCCAGAAAAAGCTTACAAAGACGAAAAAGGCATAGTCTGAATAGTAGCATGAAAAGAAAATCCAGTTATTCTGAACACTTACTTTTCAGCTGTTTATATACAACAACAATTAAAAAATACTGCCTAATTATTATTGGGGAATTCCATTGCAAATAGAGAAAGAAGATACAACATCAAGCAGGAAATAGAGAAGCTGAATTTATTTTATTTTTTTTAATAGGATGGAGCCAACATTCCGCTGTGTTTCATTACGGACAGAGCCTGAACTTTGTCTCATTTTGTTTATTTTCTCTCTTTTCAGACAAAGCCCGGCCATGTGGGCAGGGCTGGGGCTAGTTCTGGCTCTCTGTCTCCTCCCAGGAGGAGGAACAGAGAGCCCGTACTGCGAGGAGCCCCCAGAATGGCGTATTGGGGAGGAAAACCCAATGCTGAACTCTAGGGGGTCGGTGACAGTGGTGGCTCTCCTCCAAGCTAGCTGATACTTGTGCGTGCTGCAGGCTTCAAGGTAAGCGTAAATATTCTCCCTGGTCTTTGCTAAAACATGAACTGGTGAACATTTTGATGCCACCTGAGGATAACGCATGTGTTCAACTACATACATGTGCGCTCCATGAACTCTAGCTTCCTCAAATGCTGCCGTCCCAGCTGGCATGTATGACCCAGTGACCAGGTTAACTCTCAGCAGGAGAGTTCTGTGCCAGTGGCTCAGTTTCTTTCTCTCTTGACTTAGTCCTGACAGATCATCTCTCCAGATTGTACTTACACAGAAGTATGATCAACTTGACTTTAATGAAACCCAACAGAAACAGTTTCTCAAGACCATACTTCAGTCACCCCCAGATGATTAATGTAGCGAAGATGCCGAGGCCAAGAACCATCATAATTCTCTGACCTGACTAGCACATCTGAAGCAGAGATCCATGATCACTCATTTCTCATGAAAGATCTGTAGGGGAGAAGGCACATAACCCACATGCTTTTAATGTGCTTTCCCATCCCCTCTTCAGAGGTCCTAGATACTAAAAAAGAAAGATAAGGTCAAGGCTGGCCTTTTGGAAAATAGATGAAGCATTCGAGGGGACCATCAGCGTTACATTTTCATACAAGACTGGGACATTTGTGCTCTGGTTTCTAGAAGCTACTTCTGTGCAAATAATTAGCTTTCATGACAGTAGCAGCAGCAAGAAAATAATTCGGAGCTGACCCAAACAGGAATTGCACACAGTTCTTATCTTGGCTTCATCTAATGATTGTGAAATCATTTTGGTTTATAAATTCCTAATGCTCATTTCAGAGCTTGATTTTAGTCACTGTAATAACATCTCAGATTCCCCCTCTGGGCTGCATAACATCATATTATAAGAGTCTTTGCTAGCTTTTTAAGAACTAGATATGAAAAAGTGGGCAAATCTCTGGCTCCATCAAAGTCAAAAAATGGGCTTTGCGGTTGGCTTTCAAGATAGTTGGGTTTGATTCTGTATGTTTTAGGAAGGTTTTAAAGAATCTTTCAAGCTCCAGATTATTTCCCGAAGGGGTCGGGGGGGTGGTGGCGGGAGAGAAAGGAAGAGTTTTCTAGAGCAATTCAATAGGAAGGATACAAATCAAAAGAAAAGAAAAAGCCAAACCCAAAACAATAAAACACCCAACCGCACTGTACAGCAAGAAAGCAGCTTTCTGTTCTATAGACTAAAGAAAGATTGTTGTGATCGGATGCCAAAGGGAAAGACTAGCAACTTCCTGCCAAGTCATGCACACATTCTGCAGCCATCCTTTTGACCCTGTTGCTGTAATATCCTTTTTTCTGGCTATTATAGAAAATAGCCATGTCAAGATGAATGAGAGAGCTATTGGCTTTTTACTGCAGGTTTGCAGGTTTGCCTTCTTGATTATTCACTTCCCTGCTCTATTTACAGTGTGCATTCTTTGGCCAACTCTGTGACCAAAACCTCAGCACTTAAACAAAGACATCAAGATAAACTAACTCTGTTAGACCATGGAGAGTGTGAAAGAACTGAAATAAAAATAGCACTGAATTCAGCCCGAACACAGATGTCTGCTTCACTTAGTACTGCATTCTACTTCCAAGGACTGGACCCACGGCATGTTAGCTATTGGAGAGTCTGGTTTGGCAGCAGCGTAGCTGGCAAATAAGAATGATTTTGTAGTGTTACATATTTGCCATTAAAACTGGGAGAAAATAACATCCACTATAATAAAAGCAAGAGGGAGCATGCAAACTTCCATTGAATGTGGTAAATCCTATGATACTCTAATGATTTGTGGTCTTGCTTCTTTACACTCTCCACTAGATTGGAAGACCTGCGAGTGAAATTAGAGAATGAAGGACTGGTCAACATCTCGTATATCGTTGTCAATCATCAGGGATCCTATTCCCAGAGGAAATTTCACCTACTGCAAGAAAGTGTTTCGGAATACATTACTGTCTACCAGCAAGATGAGCAGCAAGATGATGTTTGGACTAAATTAAATGGAAACAAAGATGACTTTCTCATCTACGACAGGTCTGTTTAGAGGGGAACACGGGAAAATATTTGCATGTATTTATAGAGTAATGCTTTGTAAATCCCTATTAGTAATGTGCAAATTACATCACAAAGACGACATAATAATCAATTTCTAAGTTGCATTAAGAAAAGTGCTTGCAGAAAAGAGGCTATAAAAGCAAAGTCTGTTTTTGTTTAAGTAAGTTTGGGATAAACAGTTTTTTCTTTATAATTACTGTGGATTTAGATTAATATAACTGAGTGCAGAATTTGATAGCATGCTTCTGGACTTACACTGGTTTTTATTTTCAGACAGCTTCATTACATCCATGCATGTGAAAGCAGAATCAGACGAGGACAGCTATCTGAGTTCTCATGAACTCATTTTGACCAAAGTTGTTGAAAATGTCATGTATGGAAAAATTAGTCTTTAGATGAAACTTAAGACTTCAGAAGCAAGTACCTTTTTGATCGTAAGAATATGGGACATGTACCTTTTAGCAGAACCAGTAATAACTCTTTAATTGAAATCCTGATTCTTCAGTCTTGTTGTGATGGAAATTATTTGACAAGTCCTGCACTTCTAACACATCCATCCTAATTACTACTACGTTACTGTAATAAACATTCTCTGTTCATTCTGAAGCACAATTAAGTTCAATACAGAATTAGAAAGTTACTTAACTGCTTTTGGATAATATGATGAAATGGAACAAATCAGCTGAATTAGGCTTGTGGGATGAAACTAGCACTGGGATGAACTTTAGAAAGTGATTGTGTGTTACAGCAGCAAGTGTGCCTAAATATGGGAGGTTGCTGTTGTGTGACAGACAAACAGAAGGCAGCTCTATGGAGTCTGTGGAGGGGCCCCAAAGCTGACGCCTGGCCCATGGCATTTGAAATGTTGAGTAGTTCTGTGCTGTTAACATGTAGGGTACACCTGCACTACAAACTGGTTTGGCCACGGTCCATTACGGTTCTAGGAGTGTCTGTTCTTGTTGTGCCTTTACTGGCAGTGCAGTCTTTCCTGTTGCTGGTTCTAGCCATGCACTGCACATGTGTAGGGTGAGAAGGTTTGAGGACTGTGTGTTGACATTGCAGATAGGGTACATCACCAGCTGCCCTTGAACACAAGTTCTGCCTTTACTCCACCTCCTTTGAGAGTACCAGTTGTGTAGTCAGCTGCATACCAGAACACTTGAGTATGGATCTGGGACAAATAGGCACCATGCAAGTTCCCTTAAAGCACGCTAAATCAGTCACGCAGATGCTCCATAATGCACGTTCCAATCAAAGTACATGTAATGTTGCACAGAGCATTCTTTGTAAGGATGCAACAACATACGGCGATTTGTACCAACGTGCAAACAGTCCTTCTCATTAGCAAGATGGGTCTGTAATGTGTACCTTTGCTAGTCTAACTGCTACTAAACTAGAGGCTTCTGCCAGTAGAGTTACTGCATCAGCCAGAAACCATGCTACACATTACTGACCAATGCACTTGAGTGGGCAGTATTTCTAAAGCACATACTGGTTTTGCCTTTTAATTCCTTGGACAGAAACACTCTCCATGGGGCTCTACAGTGTGTGTTGATTGATGTGAATAAAGTACAGCATGAGAAGATACTTGATATTAAGTGTATGTTTATGTGTACGTAATCATAAAGTTCTTTCTCTCCTTAGATGTGGTCGTCTGGTGTATCATCTTGGTCTGCCCTACTCCTTCCTGTCTTTTGACTACGTAGAAGAATCTATTAAAATTGCATACTGTGAAAAGAAGTGCGGAAACTGCTCGTACACGGTATTCTCTCATTTCATTCTATACATACTAGGAAAGGAAACTTGATTTGACTGGTAGTTAAAAAAACTTTTTCATTGTGATTAATCAAAAAAAAGACACGATTTAGGATTTACACATTTCATGTGTCTTGACATAAAGCTTTTAAACGTTTTTCAAAGTAATTGGATTTGATTCATAATACACTGAATATCTGAATTCTTGACTTTGAGAGAAATATAAATAATTTTCAGAAGTCTAAATGCAGTCTTGGAGGCTAATTCTGTCTCTGGAGCTATGTACAGCTAGTGGGCAATTAGCTGCTCTAGTTTTTGGTGACAGGTAGGTCCTTAAACGTATGGAATCAAATCCAAGCTGGTATGAATTACTATTCCTTTTAGTTTATGTTTAAACACAGTATACAATAGTTACTTTAAAAAAGTAATACAAGGTGGCAAATTACTGTTACCTGTATAAAAGAAGGATAGCATTGTTTTCCATATAACTGAAGACCAGAACTACTTTAAGGATTGTCAAGAAATGTTCATACCTAGCCATGGAAGTTCAATTATATGAATAATTTTTGATCTCATCATCGAATTTTCTCAGGCAGGCCAGATGTGGGACCTTAGAAAAAGGTTGCTTTTTATTAATAATTACTTGAATTCAAATTCCTGCAAGTTTATGCTGAGAGCCCTGTCTAGTTACCAGTGGTGTTGTAAAACAAGGTTCTTTTTGATATTCATATATTTTTTTCAGCAAAGTAGCACAAATAATGTAAAGTTAGGCCTTCTCTTCAGCAAAAATGTTAAGCTAATTAATATTTTACAACTAGTTCAATTAAATATTATGCTTTGTATTTAACGCAAGTTGCTATTTTGCAGGAACCCAATACTGATGTTGTATGTGAAAACTTCACGAAAAAAGCAGATGAAAAGCTAGCGGAGGCAGAACCCAAACCAAGTGGCCAACACTCACATCACCACAGCCTGCACAGACACAGACACAGGCACCACCACCATCACGAAGGCAGTCGTCATTCCAAAACTGGGAACCATGAGGCTCCTTCTGAAACTCAAAGACGTCATCCTCATGGTGGTCGGCGTCATAGAGTTTTTGGCCGTAACAGACACAATGAGACAGGCAGTCAAGAGCAGGTAGACGCTGTTCCTCCAGGAGGTGTAGAAATTGCACAAGATAAAAAGCTATGAAAAAAGGGGAAAACCACCTGTAAAAACCAGTTAACTTGAAATTGGCAGACAGCATCAGACTCAACTTCTAGTAGCTGATGCTGTCACTGCCGACACCTTTTGTTTGAAGAGCTAGGGAATTCTGTCACTTGACAGTGTCGCGGAGCACTTCCAAATTCCTGCAGGTGACACGGCCAGCTGTCAGCAGAAGACATCACTGAATCTTGACAGTGACGTCTGCTCACTGCTGCCTGACAGTCGCCAGCAGCAGGAGCCAGTGAAACCAGTGACACCTGACAGTGACAGGAAAAGGCAAGAAACTGAGCCTGAAAAACAAACTAAGCACCACCTTAAAAATGCAAGGGAGTCCTAATACCTAAATTCGTAGAGTTGCGAGTGGGAAAATTAACCGATTAAGTGTCTTTATTGGCCCCCATTAAAAATTATACTAGAGACAGGTGTGTAGAGCTAAAATACTATAAAGAAACAGACTTTTAGAGCAGTGCTCATAGGATTACACAATACCTGTCAAATTCCATCAGTGAAAAGCTTCATATTTTCAAGGAATTTAATTGGCCTGTTGTTTGTTTTGCAGTTGCAGTGCAAAGGTGTCTGCATTCTTGATTAATTTGTCTTTCTTGTTCATCTTCTAACATTCTGCTTGCATTTGTGAGGACGGGAGCATAAACTATGACCTAGGGGCTCCTGATCTGATGTTTTGCAACCAAGAACAGAAGATGACCAAAAAAAGATATTTTAATCATTTTTTATTAAGAAAATGGAATATATTCCAATTTTTTTTTTTCTTCTAACCTGGGGATACACATTATGTATGAGAAAAGATTGTTCTTTAGCAACATGCCAAAACAACTGTTTAACTCAAATGTAAGATACATGCACTAATTGCATTATTTTAAAGTAACAGATTTATATGCTTAACTTTTGTGGCTTAGATACAGTATCAGTACCCATTAATACTACTACAGCTTAAAAGTTCAACCAACTTTGTAACATCATGCCTAAATGAAAAACAGTGCTGACAACTCCTCATGCAGAATCAGTAACAGTATCAAAAAGAGGAGAGACAGGACAAATTCAATCCTGGCTTAATGTTTCTCTACATTTATAACAGTGCTGAATTTGAAAAATCTGTATTGAATGGTAAGATAATATACCACTTAAACTTGTTTAACTTCTCTGTCTGTAGCTTAGCATTTGTAACCTTTGATTAACTGAGTTAAGGTAAAAATACAGTTGTTCGAAGGATTCCTGGATGAAGAAGAGATGAGTCAAGAAAGGAAAACTGCTCTGAAAGTGTACACGATAATTAATGACGGTTTAATAGGGAAATTATTACTCCTGTGAAACCTGAATCTTCTTATTGTGAATGCAGATGAGCAAGAAAGTAGCCCTGAATATACACAGAATGCATGGCTTCGGAGTATTTGACAAGTGTTTTCAATAAAAATATTCAGCATTTCTTCATATCTTGTTTTTACCTTCATGTGAACAGTTTGAAATACACTGGTTTTGTTTCTTTTTATCTGTAGTACTGAAATATGTCATTTACTCAAAATCGCCTCAGATTGAAGCCTTGCTCTTGCTCTTTAAGAAGACGTTCCTCTAATTCTTTTATGGTGTTTCGGAGAAGTTCAAGTTCGTTGTTTTTCTCCTGCTGGAAATTCTGCAGCTTCTGTAAAAATGCAAGCAAAAGCTTCATTGTTAAACATCACACTGAATTATGTACCAGGACTCTGTTACTAATGAGAAATACTCTAATAAGAGTATTTTTCTAACTATTTTGTGTCACAAAACTACAAAGGTGACTTCCCCAAAATCCTATTTTTGTGACATCCCAAAGTCCCAAGCTTACAGTAATTTATGTCAGCTCTATCTTAAATTCCCAGGTTAACAATTCTGTACTAAACCCACTACACGTATGAGCTTTTGCTGTTGAGCTTTATCAGCACCGGTGCAGAGACATGAAACTAATTGTTTAGAGGTGGGAGGGAATGTAAAGCATAAGATGGACATGAATCTGCACATGCCTCCAGCTCCCCAGTCCCCAGAGTTTTGTTGCAGGAGAAACACAGTAAAACTGCAGGGAACTGCTGTTTCAAACACTCTGTAACAATGTTTAGTATCTGCAGACTATAGGCTATTAAAGCACATACTCTTCGATAGATACTCCGTGGAAAGGCAGAAGATTGCCAAAATGATCTTGTGCTATCCCGAACTGTTGCCAATTTAGCATTGAACTGAAAGAATCAAAAAAAAGCAAAATGTTAAATACAAATAGGAAAAAAAGGTATGTTACATAATACAAATATAATTTTAACTTTTTTTTTATTAGATTTTGTGTATGAGAGCTTATCTACTATTGAATCCTAGGACAATGAAGCCAATTCAGTTTATTTAAAGAAGAATGCAATTACAAGTTATGTTTCTTTAAAAAATACCCCAAAATATTGCAAAAAGTATACAGTACAAATACAATAAACTAAATACATTTAGACAAACAAGACGATGACAAAAATACCTAAAGTCTCCACAGCTGCATGTGCGCAGAAGAAAATACAGAGGATGCTAAAAAACCTCTGAAACCATCACCTCTCCCTCATGTCCTAAGGAAAACTCAGCCCAAACACATTAACACCTTATTTCTTTTTTGATACGCTGAAAGGTTTCAAGTATTTCCTTAATTGTTTCTGTAAAGACAGTGGCTTAAAATCTGAGCCAAGAAATACATGTTGATTCTGTGACTCAAATCTCCACATGATTAGAAGTCTTTAAGCTCCTGGAAGTTTATATAAAAAGCTATCTTTCTAGCATTTAGAAGTTAAAAAGAATAAAAAGAAGCAAAACATTTTTTGTATAGCTCAGAAGCTAGCAAAAGTTTCAAAATTATTTAACACAAGAATACTGCAAACTTCACTTTCCCTCTACAGCAGGTAGAACTTGATTCCTGAGCAGAAGCAACTCAGATATCATTATGGAAGGGATCACATGCCACTGAACTTTGTAAAGACAATCTTTTTTTAAGTTTCCTAGATACATACCGTATTACTTCATTAAGTACTAATTACTATTTTTCACAACACAGTCTAAGTTTACCCAAAGATCAACTGATCTTTAACTCAGCTTTGCAATGCGTACCTCTATCTCCAGTTTAATGATTTCTTTCTGCTTCTCTTCAATTTGAATTCTCAGCTGTCTGGTTATCTCTTCTGCTTCCAGGTCTTTTTTCTCTCTCTCTTCTTTATACTCCCTTTCTTTTGCTTCAACTAGAAACACCGTAACACCAAATATGATGGTTACAGATGTTTAGATGGAAAAATGACATAACTTCCCAAATATTAAAAATCTAATGAATAGCAGATCAACATTTCACAGGAAAACAACTGAATTCAAGCAAAGACCATATGAAAACCACCCTGTCCCATCTCAGTAAGACGGAGTCTCTTTGAAGAAGCATCTTATTTTACAAAGAGTTTGGCTTTTTTCAGCTACGCGGATGAGCAAAAAATCCTGCTCTTCAAGGCTGTGTCAGTAATGGGAAAAATTAATATTCAAATGGTTTTTATTCTTGTAGCAGTATTACTTATTTGTGAAAATGATGTTCTACTTCCCTGAGCATAGCTGGAACACTCTAACAGCAGTCTAGCTAATAGTTTAAAACAATAGTTCAAATTAACCCAAATTTTAATTCCTTCAGATTTTTAGGTCCAAATTCCCGTTGTTTGTTCTACCTGTTTGGGAATTTCGGCTTGTCCTGTGCTGCTGTACTACTGCCTCATTGCTACTGTCTGCTCTTGAGCTAAGATAAAATTCAGTTAAACACTGTCCATCTTTAGCTTTCATATTTCCACTGCGAAGCAGAACTTGTACATTTCTTAGATGAAGTTGTAGTTCCTGTAGTTACAACACTTTTTACCTAATGCTACAGCATTCAGTCCTCAGAGAACTTACGTTTTTTCATCATAGCGTAATTCAGCTTCATTATTTCTAATTTGTGGTCTTCCTCTTTGGTTTTAATTTCTGTCATAAGTTTTTCAATCTGATCTTTGTATTCCTGTGAATGTAAAAAGCTTCAGAAAAATCCTGAGTTTTCTGTGGTCTCAGTCTTCTGCGAAGCACAACATTCATGTGAAATGTACAACACTCTATAATTCAGTATGTGCTTTATCCTCTATCTAGTAAATTCAAAATGCCCAATTACTTCTTACACAGTCTGGCTGAAGTCCACAGATGAAAAATATAGCACATTTCATTGTATTGTAGTTATCAGTTAATATAAAACCAGAAATTGTACTTATTAGAAGAGGCAAATGGAGAAGTAACATTCCTTTCCCCACGGATCTGATACAGTGCTTCAGTTAGGTCAGTGACTACAGTTTTCTATTTGTGGATATTTGACTGTTAGATTGTAAAACAAAAATCATATTTGAAGTATGAATTTTCTTAGTATTGCTTATCCCAAGGATTTCACAACTTCATACTGGCAGCAGCACAAACTTCAGTGATATCAGCAGTAGTGATGCTGGTGGCACTGATACTCAAGTAGAAGAGTTTGAGCATGTCTATTGTTAAGTTTGCTCCAATTACTACTCCAGAATTATCAAGGAACTGGCAGTAGCTGCCACTGTAGAAGTACTTACTCCAAAACCCTTGTCAGAGCCTTCTCACAAAGTAGGTAGCCACTCACCAGAACAATGCTCAGAAACACTCAGAAAGGCAGTTACTGATCAGTGGTAACGGTATATGTGGACATAGTCTAGTAAGTGCCTTCAGGACAACACTTGGAAGTTTCACCATGCCATACGTATGTATAATGCACAGAATCACAGTTTTCTTACGTTTGTCAGAAGGTGCTACTTATTTTATTCTCAAACTGTCAAGATGACAGCTCTACTGGTATAAAAATCTAATTTGAACTCATGGTTAGTACAAACGCAGGCAAATAAAATCAGCAGTGAGATTCCTAATACTATAGAGATAACAGATCTGCAATCTTAGCACAGAGAACTAACACAAATAGCGATTAGTGCTGCTGGTGTTACCTCCTTTCCAAAAACAAATGGCATAGATAAAAAACAGAGAGATGACAAATGGAATTTATTATGACATACGGATAAAAACTAGAGACCCATTATCTTTGTAGCATTTACTCCAAAAGAAACTATAGTCACAATTCAGACAGTTCTCCATTCTCTGGTAATACAGCAGGCATTGTGAATATTAAAATCTTATTTCCACATAAAAATACATTCTTATGCAGGGGATTAGAGTTTTGAACGAATTTAGTTGAATTTGAAGCTAAATACAGGAAAAAAATAAAAAAG